TATTTAAAGAGACTGCAATAAACCTGCCTGATTTAGACTATCAGCATGTAAACAATGAAACCTCCATGTTAACTCCATCCTTATTAGCTATCATCAGTAATTTACTAAAGGGGTCATGCACAAAAGATTCTGCTTCTCACACTGTTGCAGAACCTTTATGGGTCTACTCTAGAGATGTACTGGATGTGAAAATTTAGATATCTCCTGATGTGTATGAGGATGCCTTACTTATTTTGTGAATGCGGATGCATATGTGGATATCTGTTTACGGTAAAATGCGGATGCAGATGTAAGAAATTGTGCAGATTTTCTGCAGGTGCAGATGCAAATATCCGATATATCTCTAGTCTACTTTACACGTTCATTTTATCATATAAGATTTATGATTCAATTTCCTATTAATTTCTCGATTATTCTTTTTAACCAAATGCACAGTTTTTTACATATGAAAGTCTGAAAAGTTATAGGTAGTAGGTTGGTAGACAGCAGCCACCCAGAGAGATACTACCATCCTGCCAAGTGAGCGTAAAAGAAAAGCCTGTCATTGTTTTACGTGATGGCAGGATTGCTGGTACCTTTTTTCTGTCTCATATACATGCAAGATTTCAGGTAAGTCTTGCTATTTCTACTTGCACTTAGGTCACACTACACGTGCATGTACAAGCGCACATGCATGCACGCACGCACGCACGCACGCACGCACGCACGCACGCATGCACGCACGCACGCACGCACGCACGCACGCACGCACGCACACACACACACACACACACAGCAGCGAAAGCCAAATCTGACCCGAAACTGTTGTACAGCCACATCAGGAGGAAAACAACAGTCAAGGACCAGGTAATCAGGCTAAGGAAGGAAGGAGGAGAGACAACAAGAAATGACCGTGAAGTATGTGAAGAACTCAACAAGAGATTCAAAGAAGTGTTCACAGAGGAGACAGAAGGGACTCCAGAAAGACGGAGAGGTGGGGCACACCACCAAGTGCTGGACACAGTGCACACAACCGAGGAAGAAGTGAAGAGGCTTCTGAGTGAGCTAGATACCTCAAAGGCAATGGGGCCAGATAACATCTCCCCATGGGTATTGAGAGAGGGAGCAGAGGCGCTATGTATACCCCTAACAACAATATTCAATACATCTATCGAAACAGGGAGACTGCCTGAGGCATGGAAGACAGCAAATGTAGTCCCAATCTTTAAAAAAGGAGACAGACATGAAGCATTAAACTACAGACCAGTGTCACTGACATGTATAGTATGCAAAATCATGGAGAAGATTATCAGGAGAAGAGTGGTGGAACACCTAGAAAGGAACGATCTCATCAACAGCAGCCAACATGGTTTCAGGGACGGGAAATCCTGTGTCACAAACCTACTGGAGTTCTATGACATGGTGACAGCAGTAAGACAAGAGAGAGAGGGGTGGGTGGATTGCATTTTCTTGGACTGCAAGAAGGCGTTTGACACAGTTCCACACAAGAGATTGGTGCAAAACTGGAGGACCAAGCAGGGATAAACAGGGAAGGCACTACAATGGATCAGGGAATACTTGTCAGGAAGACAGCAGCGAGTCATGGTACGTGGCGAGGTGTCAGAGTGGGCACCTGTGACCAGCGGGGTCCCGCAGGGGTCAGTCCTAGGACCAGTGCTGTTTCTGGTATTTGTGAACGACATGATGGAAGGAATAGACTCTGAGGTGTCCCTGTTTGCAGATGACGTGAAGTTGATGAGAAGAATTCACTCGATCGAAGACCAGGCAGAACTACAAAGGGATCTGGACAGGCTGCAGACCTGGTCCAGCAATTGGCTCCTGGAGTTCAATCCCACCAAGTGCAAAGTCATGAAGATTGGGGAAGGGCAAAGAAGGCCGCAGACGGAGTACAGTCTAGGGGGTCAGAGACTACAAACCTCACTCATGGAAAAAGATCTTGGGGTGAGTATAACACCAGGCACATCTCCTGAAGTGCACATCAACCAAATAACTGTTGCAGCATATGGGCGCCTAGCAAACCTCAGAACAGCATTCCGACATCTTAATAAGGAATCATTCAGGACCCTGTACACCGTGTACGTTAGGCCCATATTGGAGTATGTGGCACCAGTTTGGAACCCACACCTAGCCAAGCACGTGAAGAAACTAGAGAAAGTGCAAAGGTTTGCAACAAGACTAGTCCCAGAGCTAAGAGGTATGTCCTACGAGGAGAGGTTAAGGGAAATCAACCTGACGACACTGGAGGACAGGAGAGATAGGGGGACATGATGACGACATACAAAATACTGAGAGGAATTGACAAGGTGGACAAAGACAGGATGTTCCAGAGATTGGACACAGTAACAAGGGGACACAGTTGGAAGCTGAAGACACAGATGAATCACAGGGATGTTAGGAAGTATTTCTTCAGCCACAGAGTAGTCAGTAAGTGGAATAGTTTGGGAAGCGATGTAGTGGAGGCAGGATCCATACATAGCTTTAAGCAGAGGTATGATAAAGCTCACGGCTCAGGGAGAGTGACCTAGTAGCGATCAGTGAAGAGGCAGGGCCAGGAGCTCGGACTCGACCCCCGCAACCTCAACTAGGTGAGTACAACTAGGTGAGTACACACACACACTGGGCTTTCTTCTATTTTCTTACTAGTTCTTGTTCTTGTTTATTTCCTTTTATCTCCATGGGGAAGTGGAACAGAATTCTTCCTCCCTAAGCCATGCGTGTTGTAAGAGGCGATTAACATGCTGGGAGCAATGGGCCAGTAACCCCTTCTCCTGTATACATTACTAAAGTTAAAAAGAGAGACTTATGTTTTTCTGTTTGGGCCACCCTGCCTCAGTGGGAAACGGCCAGTGCGTTGAAGAAGAAGAGTTGGAAAAGTAAAATATTTGGATATTTTCTGTGTTAATTGTGCTGTATAGAAATAATGATTTAATTATAAAGTGATTTTACTCTGTTGTTTCTAGGTCATGCCACACCTGACCCCAGGCCAATTAAGCCAGATCAGGTCACACATGACCCCTTCCTCCTATGCCAGATCAGGTGACACCTGATCCCTGCCTACTTGTGCCAGGTCGGGTGCATAAACTGTAATCAACAGCAACACACATAATCCAAACCTAACATCAACAGTGCCTGAGTAGCAATACACCATCGATGTGTGGTAAGATCAATTGTTTTTAGTAAAGATTGTCTTATGAAATTGGGAATAAAAACATATCCCAGCTTTAGGCATTCAAGAGTACAGTGGACCCCCGCATAACGATCAGCTCCCAACTCGACCAATTATGTAAGTGTATTTTTGTAAATGCTTTTGTAGGTGTATTTTTGGGGTCTGAAATAGACTAATCTAATCCACAATATTTCTTATGGGAACAAATTCGGTCTATAACAGCACCCAAACAGACTTCTGGATTGAAATAATATTGTTATGCGGGGGTTCACTGTACTTTCTTGGTGTCAATGCACTGGAAGGGTCTCCAAGGATGTAATCTCTATGAATATGGAGGCTTCACTATAAATGGAAAAAGAATGAAAAAAAAAAAATTACTGATGGTTGCAAACCTAATGCTTAGAGAAGGTTTTTTCCAAGAAACAAATTTTTGGATGAAATCATTTACCCTTACTATGAACGCATCTAAAACTAACTTGAAGAAAAAGGCAATGTTATAACCAAAATTAAATTCTGGATTACTATAGATACAATACCTCAGAAAAACAGCTAAATGAAAGCATAAGATTCCTGATGAAACTCAATGATTTTATTTCAGACAGGGGATACTTGAACACCAAGACATTGATCAAGTCATCATCAAATATAAACAAACTACTCACGAGAAAGATCATTTTTGCAAAGAAAATTTTGTACTGTACATCAAGAATAAACTGCAGACAATAATGTTGCAAGAAAACTTATCTGCCCTAAGTATCACGTTCATTGAAAGAAAAAAAAAATAGTTTATCATTAGGGAAAAAAAATAATTGCTTTGCTCCCAAATATCTATTTTGTAAATTTTTAATGATTAAATTAATCTGATTGGCAAACGTAGTGAAGGCTGTAGTGTTTCTGTTAAATAGTCTGATCTGTGTACATAATTGTGACTGTGTGTGTGTTACTAAAGATATAACGTTTTCATATCTAGCACAGAAATCAAAAATGAAAATGTCTTGGTAAATTCTTAATGTGATAATCTAGTATAAATGTAAATATATAATAAACTATATTAAAATCAAACAAGCATATTGCATGAAATGCATTTTAGTTAGATTATTATTTTATCCTTACACCTTTGCTGCATAGAAATCTAAATACAAAGCTTTCACTTACATGCATATATTTTCAATCAAACCATACCCCGGCCGGGATTGAACCCGCGGTCAGAGAGTCTCTGGAGTTTTAAGACTCTCTGACCGCGGGTTCAATCCCGGCCGGGGTATGGTTTGTTTGCAATCGTGTCATTACGATTTCGTGAGTCATATATTTTCAATCTTACGTGAAAAAAATAAAATACATTTTAAACATATTTGACCTCTCAAACTTATGATAACTTGGGTCCCAGAATATCACTGTGTGAAACTGAAGAAGACTTTTTATTTTCCACTTTGTTTTAAGGTAGGGATAACAAATACATTACTGTATATAAATAAATTACAGAAAATGATGAGCACAAGTAATACTGATCATGTATTGCTGCTATATCAACCGTTATTCATTACTCAGACCTGGCATCTTAATGACCAAGAATTTGAGAATGCAAATGAATAACATGCAAGAGATCTGGTTGGAGGACATAATACTAACAGGTATAGGAGTGAAGACACAAGAATGTAAGCAAATCTTTACTTGCATGTGTCCCTGTTTCCCTCTTAAATAGAGTAAAATACAGTACTGTTCAGTTAAAGAGCTGTTCTGAATACTTGTGTCTTTGCCATGCAAGAGATCTCACAATGGATCAATGTGTTACATTTACAATTAATTTACATGCACATCTTCACACAGCATTTACCTGGGGTCTCAGTGTGAAGTTCTGACCTGAAGCTTGCGTAGTACCTCCATTTTGTATTTGTGTAACACACGTAAGTCTCCATCGAACACACTCCATCACACCAACATCAAACATGTCGAACATACGGGCAGCTGAAATAACACCTGTCATAAATACCAGACTCAAAACTGGAGTATAAAGTCAAGAGTTCAATATGAATTACTGCATAACATATTCTCTGCAGTTCATTTCAAGCCTACAAAATATACTACAAAAATACTGTATTACAAATGAATTACACTACTTTCATAATGAAAGTTACAGTGTAATTCATAATTATACTGTATAATTCATAATTACACTGTATAATTCATAATTACACTGTATAATTCATAATTACACTGTATAATTCATAATTACACTGTATAATTCATAATTACACTGTATAATTCATAATTACACTGTACTTTCATAATGAAAGTTAATGTTCAAGATAAAGGTATGATCAGGGTGCTGTAACAGAACATCTTATTACAGTCCATGCCATCTTAACATTCAAAACCAGTGAAAAAAAGTATCAAGTAATGAAACCTAATCTTTCTAGAATGAATATTCTGTTACACAACAATGTAACTATGTACAGTATATACCATACACAAGAACTAGAGAGCTTTGAGCAATTTTACGTAGCCAAAGGTGATTGAAACGAAGACCAACTCTTGCAGAGATGCTGTATGGGAAGAGAGAATTCTGAAACAGTTTTTGCATACTAATTTCTTGCCAAAATATGAATTTCAACAGTGAGAATTATTTTACCAATGATTCCTATTGTATTTAACCCTTTGAGGGTCGACAGGCCCTCTCCGAAACTCGTTCTCAGGGTCGGCCAAATTTAAAAAAAAAAAAAATTATTTTCTCTTATGAAAAGATAGAGAATCTTTTCCCGATCATAAAGACACCAAAAGTTTGAAATTTGATAGAAAACTTACGGAATTATGCTCTCGCAAAGTTAGCGGTCTTGGCGATGTTTACGCATCGGCGATTTTTGCCCACTTTGAGCCCCATTTTCGGCCAATTTCACTGTACTAGTCGACAAAAAACATGAATATTTCGCTAGAACTCCATTTTTTCTATCGAATGGATGCAAGAAACCACTCATTTATGAAATTCAACTATCCAGTACAGTGGTCAGAATTTTGCAATTTTGCCAATTTCACACAAATTTCAAAAGATGCCAATTTCCGAATAGGGTCCAGAATAAACAAGAAAGACTTTCCTGGCACTAAAATGACATTTCCTCTAGTCATTAGTCATGTCTCAAGGCCCCTCTTATATTCTTTTGCTTTCCACTTTGAATTTTTATTTTCACAAAAAATATAAGATTTACTGTTATGCAGACTACTGCATTAGTGTAAAAAATGGTATAAATATTATTGGTGCACTTGTGAAAGAATATTAGACTCACCAGTTGACGTGTATTGCACGCTTGGCACGATTTGTTTACTTTTGAAGTTTGGTAAAAATCGAACATTTCTGCTACTTTGAGCTCAATTTCAAGGCACCTTTCTTTGTAAAACCAGTCAAAATCATCTCAATTTTTGTAATATGTTTTCCATTCTATAAAATGAGACCAAGAAAACTAGAATACAACAATAAATACCATACAAAAATACACTGCAAAGTCGCTGATTTATTCAAAAAAATTGGTCAAAGTTTTTTTTTTCTCATTATGCACTGTGTGCTGCAGGATTTTTTTTAGACTGTGCACACTGACCACATATACCCATTCTTTCATATGAAGGCCTACCAGCTTTCTCCCACTAGATTTGAGGCCGCTAGAATTTATGAGTACTAGTACGTCAAAAACCCCTACGCGTAAGACGTACTAGTACGACGAAAACCCTCAAAGGGTTAAAAAACTGTCAGTTTATTGCCAGGTATTAACTGCTGCAACTGACTCTAGTAGTTATACACAGATGAGTTGTGATGGGGAACATGAAAAGCCCCATCCTCTCAAAAATATTCTTTTCTTTGGTATTGCATTGCAACAGGTACTGCTGCTTTGTTGTTCTCTCTCTCTTTAGCCTTTCTTGTATATATAATCTGTGCATCATTTCTCTTCTTTTCTGCTTGTTTTGTGATTAAAGAGATAATTCTTACCCAATCCACATATTCTTACCTCTCAGTGCTAGTAGCTAACCATTATGTCACATGTCACAGCTAAATCAACAGGTAGAACTTTTTAAAAGATGTTTTAAGTGCTCTTAAAAATAGTCTCTAACATCTGAAAGTGGTGAAAACTCTAGCACATGCCCAAACTCCTCAAGAACAAGGAAGGAGCTCCAATTGCAAAGAAGGCACCTTAAGATTCTCTGCTAATATTAAAAGATAATATTTCCACTGCTGAAAAAAATAAATGGTGCCTAAGAAAAATCTTCAGTATAATCATTATTTACCATCATAGTCCTGTATCACATACAAACTTAACCCTTAAACTGTCCAAACATAGAACTACGTTCACTCGCATAGTGCTCCGAATATTTTGAAAAATTAAAAAAAAAATTCTCTCTCTTAAAATGAAGAGCACATTTTTCTACATTTTATAGGATTAAAAAAAAAATTTTAGGGTCAGTACTTACTGATATATAAGACCGTGAAGTTGGCTCTGGATGCTCACCTGACGGCAACATTGACTCCTGCCGCTTGCAGAAGTGTTGCCGATATACCTTTTTTTCTCATTTTTATTTTAATTTATATATTTTTTATGTTCTGATAATTACAATTTATAGTAGTTCTTGTAATTTCACAACCGATCTTTGTTCTGACACTAATATTAGATACTGAAATAGTGCTCAAATAGTCACAATCACATTGACAGGTGAACATTTACACCTGCCTGGGTTATTTACTATTGTCTAGAAATATATACAAAGTATTTATAGGTTCCAGCAATGTTTTAGATACCCTGGGGTATACCTTGAAGCATGGTGTTATGAAAGGCATCCCTATACTGTTGACAGCTCAGTGACATTTGATAAATGCCCACTGCTTCAGCTAACTCTCACTGTATTTGTTATCACTGTTATACACAAACATGTCTTGTCTCTGTCTATTTATCTGTCTGTTTATCTATCTGCCTGTCTATCTGTCTTCCTTTCTATCTGCCTGCCTGTCTGTCTGTCTCTGCTTATCTGTCTTTCTGTCTGCCTGGAGTATATGTATATCACTCTCCTTGAAGAATCGTGTTATGACATCTGTTATCAGCTCAGTGACATCTGATAAATGGGTGCTCGGGGGAACCCTGGCTTTATTTGTTTTCACTGATACACACAAACACGTTTCTGTCTGTCTGTCTATCTATCTATCTGTGTCTATCTTTGCCTGGAATTTTTGGATTATCCTAGGTAATTTACACTATGTATAATAACTGTACTTATGTGTACATGTGAGACAGAGATATAGATAGACAGAGATATAGATAGATAAAGATATAGATAGACAGATATATAGACAGAGATATAGACAGAGATATAGACAGATAGAGATATAGACAGAGAGCCAGAGACAGTCAAAGCAAGCCAGCTGGGAAGCCTGCCAAATACATAAGAACATAAGAAAGAAGGAACACTGCGGCAGGCCTACTGGCCCATGCAAGGCAGGCACATGTCACCCTCCCTGCCCTGGCTTAGACCAATTACCCACCTAGTCAGGTCACATCCATTGAAGGAAGGAGCATGACATCAGACCTAGTAGCACAGGCTAGTCAGGTCCAACTCACACCCACCCACATTCACTCATGTATTTATCTAACCTATTTTTACTTTCCTCTTAAAATGGGAGTGTTAATGTGACATGGCATCAGTGACTCCCTGGTGTTTGCCACACTATTTGCTCTAGCTGGCGCTCAATTGAACTGGTGCTCCCACAAGGTACTAAGTGCTCTCAGATTTTTTAATAGTGTGCACACTGAGTGCACAGACCCATTCCTTCAAGTCTAGGTGACTCAAGCCTATTCTGCCAAATTTGAAGGAATGAAAATAAAACATTGATCTACGTCTGGAGCGCTACGCGTGCAAATGTAGATCTACGTTTGGACAGTTTAAGGGTTAATAACCATGCTAGAATTTCCTCAATAACTTATGAGACAATACATACAGTCAAGATTCAATTACCCCAACTAATTAAAGAAGGTGGAGGACTGTTCTAAATAAACCTTCTTTTTTATTCCAATATTTTTTGAGCCCTAAAAAATGTATTTTTTTAAAAGTTCAAGTTATAAAATATAGACATCTGTAAACCTTGATAACCAAATCTCATATAAAACAAACCGTTAAGAAAAAGTAAAACGTAAAAGAAAAAATTATGCTTGCTTACAGCAAAAATTATATATATATTTAATAAATTAATCGTCCATGTTGCAACATTTTGAGATAAACACAATGTAAATTTTTAAATCTGTTAATTAACTAAAACTGCAAAATACGTATATTACAGTGGAGTGTTCGTGTGTGTCACTGACATCTCCCAACTTTTGATGAATTATTTTTTCTAAAGATTGTGATGTAAATTAATTTAAGCAGTTTCAAATATACTAATAAATTACTGTACATTATTATGTTAATTAAATTATAATTTTTAAGGAGCTATGATGACCAAGGACATCTGATATATTCCTGAATTTATCATTCCTGTACTCTTTAATTTCACTTACGAGGAACCACCCTCATCTACTTACTGTACTTAAATACTTCAAAGCTGAAGCACACACAATACATCTTATCTTGCTACAGTACAGTACATGAATAGCACATAACATACCCTAGATATACAAACCAATTACAGACCAAAATATCATCTAAAGTTTCCTCTCCAAATTGTGGGTAAGTTTTGACATGTTCCAGTCATGGTACTGTAACTTTTATTCTTCACTCTCTGTAGTATCATATAATCAAATCAACATAATAAATTAGGTCTATCAGACATTTTAATCAGTGATAGAAATAAACACAAGTACAGCACAAGTTTTTTTTTTTTTTTTGTAATTTGCGAGATTCAATGATCCCCCCTAAGATACTCTTGGTCTCCCACTCATCTACTGTATTATACAGACCTACAATGATACAGCTCTACAGTCTACTCAATAACAAATGGT